CCCTACAAGTGTTTTCAAAAATAATAGAAAACCTGGAGAAATGCTCTTCTGGTTCTTGAAAAATAGAAAAATAATCATTTAGAGCAGTGAATATCGTTTATTGTCAAAAGTGGGTGTTCTTTTTTTCATTCTTCGATTAAAAAAAGTATTTTTTTTTTAAAGCTCAGCTAGTCAGCGTGCTGTTTTCTCTCCTGACTCTGAGCAAAAATGTTAGACCTTTTGCTGCTGGCCCTCGGAAGTTGTTAGGGCGCACATCCTGACACCCACATAAAAGACCTGGTACCTATGTTTCCACATCACAAAGCAGGCCAACAAGCACACCAGGCCGCCGACCAAGTTGAGGATCATCTGGATGAGCAGAAACAGTTTGAAAGTGCCAGTGACGCTGGTACAGTCAGTCACATCCCGGTAAACAAAGGTCCTGCTGAGAGGCTCAGAGGAGGGCAGTTTGCACTGGCAGGAGTCAGGTGTGGTCTCACAGGTCAACTGCGCCAGCTGCGAGAAGTGGTGGGCAGCAAAGGCCACAGCCAGCACACACACCATCAGGCCCAGGGCGCTCAGCATGAAGTACAACAGCTGCAAGGAAGCAGAAGGAAGCCTTAAGGTTACGAAGGACACTGGGCGACTCTGCGAAACTATTATCAAAATTCTTCTTTGTCTTCTCTCCTAGGGAATTCCTTCTCAGATGGGTTGTCTCTCAGAAACACAGAGCCCAAGACATGGAAATAGCGCCATGTTTTCTGGTTTTTGTTTTCTTTTTCTTTCAGTTTGCTAGAGGGCACGTGTGCTGGAGAGACAGAGAGAAGGAAAGTGACTAGCGTGTTTCTCAAGCCAGGGGTGCAGGACTCAAACCATAGTCAGCCATGTGGGATCCAGCTGCCTTTACCACCACTCCACTGGCTGGCTCCCATGTTTGTTTATTAGTGAGCAATCCTTAAACACTGATCACATTTTCTTTTGCCATCCAGATGTTGGGTCCTTTCATGAATTGCACTGACCATATTATAATAGTTTGATTGTAAGATGTTTACATCCAGAAGTCCAAAGCAGTTTAGATGAAGCCTAAACAAGATAGCCATCCCTGGATGACACTTTTTCTTTTCTTTTCTCTCTTTTTTTTTCTTTTTTTTTTTTGCTTATTTTGATCTTGAGAACTGCTGATATTAAAACTGAAAACAAAGACTGGCCTGTAGCACAGTGGTTAAGCACTGTAGATTGGGAACTGGATTCTACATAGGCCACTGTGGTTTGATCCCAGCCCTGGGTGATTTGAAAAACATGCCAGATACACGTGTATCCGTGCCCAAAATCCTGATGGGATGGAGAAATGAAGGAAAAAGAATTGCAGCATAGTTATCTCTCTTTCTCTCTCTCTCTGGAGAGTACCTGTGCCATCTAGTAATTTAAAAAAAAAAAAAAGACCAAAACAAGACAAATAGGTAACGAACAGATTTCTGTAATGCAGACACTGTGCTGACCAAAAATAGCAGCGATTGGCCAACAGACAACATAGGTTAGTTTGAAAATGCAAAAATAAAAACAAAAAAGCAGTGTTCAGTGTAGTGGTTGCCGAACTGTGTCCACGAATCCCAGGATCTCTAGTCAGAAGTTGCAGGAAGAAAAAGATTATGGCTCCAGAAAGCAGGTGACTTAATGTCAGCTCCACGGCCTGCAAGGCTTATCCCCGGTCCAACTATAACCATGTGGATCCTGAGCATGGAAATCCACTAGCTGGTTCGTTGGCCACCAAGTTTTCGAACACTGCTGGTCCACACGTTAGCCTTGAGAGTGGCCAAGTCTGGTTAAAGTTCTAACTCTGCTGCTAAAGAACTGTGGAATTCTGGACAGTTCTGTCGTTTCACTTATGCCTGAAACATTTTGATGCAAAATTGTGGGCCCTCATTGACTTGGTCACAATGAAATCTATTTTATGGAAGTAGAAATAGTCTTGTGATTGGACTCACATACTGGAAATGTTTCTTTTCTTTCTTTCTTCTTTTTTTTTTTTTTCTATAGGGTATGTGTGGTTGCCAGAGAGAGACAGAGAAAGGAAATCTGCCAGGAATCCTGTATAACTTGACTGTATGAGAGGACTTTGATAGTTTAAGAAAAAAAAATGGAGTTAAAGTACACATTTATTTGAGGGCAAATGATTTTGACATCCATGCCATTTTTTCCTAATATGCATTTTCCGTGATATTTTTGAAGATCCCCCATGGATGTGAAGTCACTAGAGGAGAGTAAAACTGGTTAAAGCCATTTCGGTCTTTTTCTTTATTTCACATTTTTTTTCCCTTTATTGTCAGAGGGCGTGTGCACTCACTGGGGCTGGGGGTGGGGAGAAGACACCCCCAATGGGGCGTGGACATACCACAATTCTTTTTTTTTTTTTTTCTATTTTCCCACTCTGTCAAAGTTTTGAACATGCACACATGTACACCTGGAGTATTTTTCAAACCATCAGGTCCGGGATTCAGACCACAGGTGGCCATGTGGGATCCAGCTCCCTAACTGTAGCATTTACCTGCTGCATTACAGGACTGGCACATTTTGTCTTGGTCTATCTTGATATGTCTTACCTAAGGAGTGCATGGATTCTTTGGATCTTTTTTTTTTTTTTTTAATCAAAGATAGCTTAAACACATACTATTTTTATTTTCAAATCATTTGAAGTATTGTCACATGTAACCTCTATATCTTTGTGAAACAGTTGCATCTCAGAGACATAAAAGGGATGACTTAGAGTCAACACGTTTAGCATTTTACAGAGGCAGGGAACCAGATAAATACAAAGTGGCACCATTGACAAATTTTAAAAAAGAAATTCGGTCTGTGAAATGGAAAGCATCACCTTAGTCCTATCCCGGGTATTTTCAATGACTATATTTTATGTGATGATTAGAGTGCTTAGGCTGAAAAATAGGAGTTTATTTGGTGAGACCAACGGGGACAGAATATTTGAACTATTCTGGGTAGTTCTGAAATGTTCACGTTTGATGACTGACTTCAAACTTTTGGTACCCAGAGCCAATTAAATTGCACTGGGCATGTTTGTGCACTCACCATAGCTGCATTTCTAGCATAGCCAGCAGAGGACTGAGAACTGTTTGCTGTGAGGACACAGGTACACCTATTTCCAGCAGGGAAAGCCCAAGTAAGAGCGCTAACTCCCCACCTGGTAGGCATCTGCTCTGTAGGACGACCTGGGACCCAAGTTTTCTCCACACGTTTTATTCCCATGAATGGATGGTAGAGGTTAATGGGGATCGGGGAGAGGAAGTGGTAATAACCCTTCTGCCTTCACCACGCACACATGCTTAGCAGATTTTTGTAACATTCACTGGGGCAGTAACTGGAACAATGACAATAATCTTCCATTCTCAATCTATAAATAATTCAAACAGTGGCCAAATATATTATTCTCTCATAAGAGTCACAAGAATCCATTTGCTGAAAATGAGCATTTCGTCTATTTTTGAAAAAATGACTTTTGGGGCTCAGAGATTGAAAGATATGTCTAAGACCAGTTAGCACTGCACACAGCAGTCCTGGGTGATGGTTAAGCATGAGGCAGGGAGTCGGACTGCCTGGGTTCGTATCCCGGTTCCTCTCCACTTATCTGTGGTCCTTGGGCAAGTAAATCAATCCATGTGCACCCATATTTCTTCATCTGCAAACTTGGAATGAAGATCCTCATAGCATCTACTTTAGGAGACTATGACAGGGATCAAAGGAGTCCATATCAACCAGGGCTTCCAACAGTCCCTAGTAGATAGCAGCACTCTGTAAGTATTTGTGAAGTAAACAAATTAGCAGAGACAGAAAGAGCTGTGGGTCCTCAGGGCTCAGGATATCCATTCTGCTGGCTTTGTCCTAGTCTGTGTCATGTGGGAGTAACAATGCATACTTGGCTGGTAGGAAGGATGTAAACATTTACATAGACACAGTGATTGCTCCATTTTAATTGAGCCTCTGAATTATGCTAGAAGCCAGCAAGAGCATAAAGAAAAACCCTGCCTGGCTCAGCTCCTCTGAACGAGAAAGCCTTTACAAATCGGTAACTATTACACGGAGTGATTTTGGTCCCCCCTCTGCCCCGGGAGAGCATCAGGCCAAGTAAACTGGAGAGAGCCACAGAATCAAGTTTCTTATCCATTTTAAGACGTAAATATATATTTGATCCCCCAACGCCTGCGGCCTGCATCTGCAGCGTTGGAGCATTTTTTCCTTCACGGTTTTGAACTCATCTGACAGCAACCAGCTTCTGGGTTAGAATCTGTAATTTAAAATCAAGTGTCTTGTTTTACCTACACGGCACGAATGAACTATCAATGAAAGTGTTTACGATGACCTTGGGAATCCGAGCAAATAGATCTTCAGCAGGGCAGCATACGTCTTGCGGGTGTCAGCCCAGCAGTCTGGCGCTGGCTCCGCGGCGGGCGGAGGCGCGGCGGCAGGCGCTTATGTAACAGCAGCCCCCGGCGCAGCTCCGCTTGCTCCTGCCTCTAATTGGTACCCGGCTGCAGCCTGCACGTTCGGTGACTTCGGGAAGAGGGTGTTTCTGCTCCGATTTAATTACCTTCCCGGGTGGCCTGAATGGCCGGGGCCCCTCTGCAGCACGCCGCTCTGCTCTGCTCTGCTCGGGAAGGAGACTGCCGCAGCAGCCCTGGGGCCTCCTGCACGTGGACACCAGGGAATGCACCCCGGATTGTTTCCGCAAGCACATGAACCCGACACGTTTCTGAAAACCCAGGTGGGCCCGGAGAAAGCTGGGCCACGAGGAAAGGCAGGAGGCCGGATCCTAGGCGGAATGGCCTGCAGAGTCTGGGGGCGGGACCCAGGGAGAAGGGAGGAAGGCCCTGGGGGCTTCCAGGACCTGCCAAGGGGCCAGAGCTTGAGAGAAAGGGAGAAACCCCGGTGGCTATCTTCTCTGAGGGAAAGGGAGGGCATGTATGCGTGTGTGTGTGTGTGTGTGTGTGTGTGTGTGTGTGTGTGTGTGTTTGCGCGCGCGTGTGCAGACTTGCAAGGAGGCTCTCACTGCCTCTGATGGCTCGCCCTGGCTATCTGGGCCTTCAACAGGAAGACATAAATTCTCATACAAAGCTCAGGCCAGGATGCCAATATGGGGGCCCTAAAATGCAGCTGTGTGAGTGGAAAACATCTTAGGAAGATGACCTTCATATTCTGCCACCACCCACCTCCGAAAACCGTGGGACGTACAAGGGATGTCGCTGCGTCCTGCAGTGCCCTGCAAAGCCTGGAAGACAGGCTGAAGTTCATTTCGACCAAGCTGGCTGCAAGGACCACTAACGGTCACATTTGGGAGAAAAGTACCTCAGTATTTGTCAATGTCTGTCACAGGTGGGAAAAAAGGTAGCTAATGAGATCTTCCTGGTGGGGAATTGCAACCTGGCTGTCATTGGCAGGGACTTGACTTTTTTTTGCTCTTGGTCCTTATTTTAACTAATGTGCAGATGTTACTATGGCTCTGGGGGCCTCTCTGAAGCTGATGCTTTCCTCTCTCTTTTCCGGGATAATTTTGGAGGAATATAAGAATATTTTATGTGAATGAATAAAGACTTAGATCAGAGTGTTTTTCACCTACTGAATGAAGTTTCTGTAATTTGACAGGTCTTTTCTTACTAGGCTTTCTGCCCCCCCCCCCCAAGTCTT